CAGGCAATCCCTGACCCACTTCCGATGAGGCTGGTCTACCTCGCCATGCTTGTTCTGTATGACCGGGCCTCCGCTAACGTTGAGTCCTGCTGTCGGAAGCGTGGCGTGTCGGATTTCTGCTCGCGGGCGCTCTGCAGACTCACTTCTCCACCAGGTACAGAGGAGATTTACACGGTTTTCGACTCTACTCAATGCCAGCCACTTCTGCCACTAATTGCGGGATGTATCGTCGACGGCCGTGATTCTACTGCTTGTTGCCGAAGAAACGCCGTACAGGAAGAGGAGAATTCATGCCTTAATCTATGCAGAGGCTCATCGGACGGCATGGGAAACTGGGATGACTATCTGTCTTGTTTGTCCCTCAATCTTGCGTCCATGTACAGCTGCATCCTCAGCAGCCATCATTCCAATACACCAACACCGCCGCGCCACCTAAAAAGCGTACCGAAAACCAACACATCAGTGAAAATCCAGTGGAGCCCTCCCGCTGAGCATCCAGAGCTTGTACATGTTTACAAAGTATATTTACTCGACGAAGAAAAAGAAGATATAGTAACAACTAAGCACCACTCTCACATTTTTGAGAATCTCAGACCAGATCGGTCATACAGGGTCTACGTTGTGGCACAAGCCTCAAACCCCTCCAACAAATCTGTACCTTCTGACATATTGCACTTCAGAACGTCGTCCACCGACAGCGAAGAACCGCGCTTCAATTCTACTTTGCATTTGCCGAAAGAAGCAAAAAAGGCCACGCTTTCGTGCCATCTGCAAAAGGGGATATCCACGCACATGATATGGGAAAAGAAAGTGGGATCAATCTATCGCAAAGTCGACGGATCTCGTTTCCATATAACAACTTACACTTCTGAAGACGAAAAATTTAAGCAGGTGCTGGTTTCTTCACTTGATATCTATGATTTGAACAGCTCGGATTTTGGCACCTATAGATGTCATGATAGCGGAAGCCTCAATGATTATGGAGAGGTCAGTTTTTTGCTCTCAGAAGGCTAAACAAACAATTTTGAGGTTTTTTTGCACTGGACGTGTTGACATGAACGGCTATGATTGATATGAACGCCGTACAACTGTCGCGGCGAAAATTCGGCACCATTCAGTAGTCCGACCTTGGTCTTCCCCTGTTCCAGGTTCGTCTCATTGCTTATTCGCATGCGCTCGAAAAACCACCGAAGAATCCACCGGAAACAGTGCTCGAATGCTGCTCGCGAGAAATCTTCAATCCACGCTGTCAAACCGTATGTCACGCCGGAAGTGCGAAGCGTGGCCTTAAACCTGGTGAGCAGCACCTTCTTTGCTAATTTGTTGATACTCAGTCTTGATCTGCACGTATTGCTAGCGTTCAGCTTTTGTGCGGCGCTGCGAATTGCTACGAATGACTCTAACTTGCTATATGTCAGTCATTGCTTGATTAGCAGAGACGAATTCATATGCAGTGCTTATCTCAAGTTTGCTGTTTTTTAGGATCGTTCTACCCAGATACTAAAAATTGTGCGGACGGCTTCCAAAACCTTTTACGCTGCACTCTGAGTGAAATGAACAATGCTGGATGCTGTATTAGAGCATATGTTGGTCTGGCGTGTGAACTTTGTCTTCTTCGCAGAAACTGCTGTTTCAGATACCATATCGCTGCCTTGGCATGTGTGATAGCAAATTCGAGTTGACCCCGCTGAATAGTTTCGAATGCTTGCGTTACCAAAGTAAGGTGAGCTGCTGATGCGCAATCAAACAAGTGAAAGGACTATGCACTGTGCAGGTTCGGCAGTGCCAAGCAGAGGTACTGAGTCTGCGCCCCGAAGCGGTCTCAAATCTTCGCGCTAAGACAGAGAATGATATGACTGTGTTGGGTTGGGACAGAAGCGAGAAAGCCGAAGTGAGCGTTTACCATTTTAAAATATCCTGATTAAAAAAAGGAAGCGCAGGTCTACCATGTATATCACAGAAGGAGAAGGGGTCCATGGAAGTCGGCTTCAGTCAAAGGAACGACTTCAACGGTAATGAATGCAGACGAGGTAAGTCCTTGCTATTTTCTGTAATGCTATTTTTTTCTGCGTCCTAATTCGATCTGAGTTACCTGGGTTTCTTTGCAGATTGTTGTTCTTGCCGTAAACGCGTACGGGCCTGGCTCTGCTAATCGAATTGCGTTCGAGAACAACGAATGGATAGGGAATTACGACTGATCCACATTCACGATAGTAAGTTTCTCACATCTCACAGTCTCCCGTTCAAGAATCAGTACAGCCTCTTAACCGCTTTTGTTGCTTCGCATTGTCTTCTATCTCCACTTTGCAGGCTCATTTTTTCAAAGAGCAAATAACTGAACAGCAGGGATTTCGTTCTTTCCACTACCATGGCAATTGTTTTGTATAGTTTAGATCCACAGAGGGTCGAAAATGTATACACTGTCCGATAATTGTAAATCTCCCACCTCAATAGTTGCATTGCGGAAATTTTTTTTTCGAGGGTAAGGTCAACTGGATCAAGTCCGGTGAAGAATTTCAGTTTTGCTTACGTTACATATACTTCGTATCAACGAAAACATTTGCAAGTGGGATACGATAGGACACATCACGCAGGGACTTTCGATTACTACAGCTTACAGTAACCATCTAAAGTAGCAGTAATCTAAAAAAGATTCGAACATTATAATGAGCTATAATGTCCGAATCTTATCTAGATTAATGAAGTACGCCAGTGTATACATATTCCTGAGAATCAAAAAGTAGATTTGGAAGTAGCCCCTCTTAATATACGGGTTTTTTTT